TTTTTTCTAATTTTCTCATTTTGAATACCCATAAATTGAATATTTATTTCTGACTTTTGAGTAAGGCTAAGTTTGAGGACTAAAAACAGTAGAGAATTGTACAGAGTTCAAAGAGGAGTTAAAACCTTAGGGCCTACCTCTATTGCATACTTTCAGTTTATCTTTGAATAAAATTCATAGCTCTTATGATGATTTGCAAGGATTCAAGAGGCACCCCTGCCTACTGCTCAAATTTTTAGAGACCTTCCCCTGATCACATGTTCTAAAGTGGTAGTACCAATCTGCTCAACTCCTTTACCAGGTGCTTTCCTAATAGCACTGATACCTAAGGTAAATAATGTTTCACATTTCTGTGTTCACTGATTTTTCTTTATCCCACTGGAATATAATATTCTTGATGACAGTATTTTGCTTTGTTGGTGGCTGTGATCCTAGCACTTAGAACAGGGGTTAGCAGATTTTAGGCACTGGATACGTACTTGCTAAAATAAATTCTGGAATTCAGACAAAAACTATTCAAGTATTCTAGGCTTTGCTGGAATAATTCTTGTGATAAGGCACTCAAAAGTTTTTGAAGTATATATTTTGTTGCTGGACAGCAGCAACGTCAGAAAAAGATTTCTCTATAATGACGGGCTGAATGTTTCTTATTCTATTCTTCAACCATTGTTTTAAATTCTTCCTGCAGGTGATACACAAATGTGCTGCCATCTGCCATTGGATAAGGATGAGCTCCCTTTCTCAGTGAAAGTTTGGCCAAGGGTGTACCCTTGCTGGACAATCCAGGGCTGCATATTAGTGTTTATTTGTGACCGACAAGCAGTTATCATGCAAGGTTCTGCTGCCCTCCTGGAGAGCAGCCAGAACCATGTCTGGCATCTACTGAATCTCTACCTCTCTCTCTTTTTCCTTGGCTGGACTCTCTCAAGGCTGGATGAAATTTCTCTGTAAATTCAGAAACAGAATGGGTGTGATGGAATCTCCTTCCTCAGGGTAAGTAGCTCTCCATCACTGCTAGCTGTTCTAGCAGAAGAAGCCCTAAGAACACAGCAGCACCTCAGTCCCAACCCACTCTTTCTTTGAGGAAAACCTATCTCTATTTGTACACAGGTAACTTTCTTCCTCAGGATAACATGGGTGTTTTATGATATTAATCTT